CACACATGTAAACAAGCGGCTGCAGTTTGAACTTTTTAGGGTAATTTCATTCATCTATGCTATCCATCCATGCCTTCATAACAACTATGTGGTGGCTGTTTTTGAGGGGGAAGCTTCAAAAAAGGCAAAACCCTCCTGCTAATGCCCCCCTCCCTACTGCGCTATTAAGAATGATATCATGCTTTGGAGCCACTCCAAAACTTTTTGTCCCTACGCAATGCCATAATGAAGATGAAAAAAGTAGAGATTTGTCCTTTTGCCGCCCAGATGCAGGCGTAACAGCGCTGTTGTGATTGTGAGCGCTTTTCCGCTGTAAGATAAAACTTCCATGCTGTGTGATGCCATCCTGTCCTTTGAGGATGTTCGTACGCTTCATTCCATGAGATAGTCCAACGCCGCGTCGCAATGCAATCGTCTCTTGAAGCAGCCCATCAACCGCGCTCGTTCACGGTCCAACGCCGCTTCGAGGTCGTCATGTCGCGCATAATTTCAGTCTCCCCCAAAGGGCGCGGCGCTCCCCATAGACCCCCGCTGGCAAATGTCCCCAACTGAGGAATCTTGTTCTCCTCGTCCGTGCCGTCGCTCGAAGTAGGACGAGAGATCTCTTGCAGTCTGAGGGGGACCTTTGCCGGGCCACCCAGCTGCGGCTCCTTTCTCTCTGGAGTCGGAGGCTTGACAATCTCCTGGCCGGGCTTGGAAAGGGCGGCCAACTTCTTCCGGTGGTCAAAGTCCGGAAAGATGTCGTCCTCCTCGTCCTCCTCCTCTTCTGTCTCCTTCTTTGGTGTGATTGGCGACCACAGCCCCACGGACAAGGTCGGTGATGGCTTCGTAAAGTTTGTTGCGCCGCTGCCGACCGTGATCCCGGTCGTGTTGAGCGCGGGCGTCCTGGGAAGGGAGTATGTGTTATTCGAAACCCGGCGCATGCTGCCCAGATTTGCGTTCGCCGAGTTGCTTCTACTTCCAAAGTCAAACGAGTCGGGGTTGAATGTGATCGGCGTCGGCGTATATGTGGTCGATCCTACGGTCGAGATGCGCCCTCGCGAGTATGACTGTCCGTTTTGTGAGTGATTTGAGGCTGTCGAGGGAGCTCTGGATAGATTGTGGGTGGCCGAGACAGGCTGGCGCAGATGCTCGGTGTTTGCAAATAGTTTGAGATCGTAATAATGATGGACAGGGATGATTCCTTTCGTGCCGGACATTGGGTCGACGTCAGGTTCCGACATGGGCGTATCCAAGCCGGAGGGCTCCGAGTCGCGACCGGGCTTTCTGGCGGCCACGGTCAGAGAAGCCATCGCCACGTCCATCAGGACCGGCTGGTGCGTAATGGCGCCGATCAAGGCGTTGCAACCGGCACCGTGAGATACCAGGATGACCACCGGCTCTACATCGTCGTCTTCCTCATCATCGATAGCACACTCGGTGTCACCATTTTGGGAGGTCTTGACGACCTTGGTGACCATCTCCGCGGGACGCTCGGCCGTAGTGTACCAGTCCACCAGCTTCTGAATACCCTTCCTAAATCGGTGGTGCATGGCTGTCCACTCCTCACCGTACTTGCCACCATCGCCCCAGTCCAGAGGCTCCCGCATCGAATCCCACTGGTAATCTACTGACACGCAAGCATCTCGCGCGTGCGCAACATAGCCGTCGGGGATGGTGTGGTTTGGTGAAATAGCGTAGTGGGGACTGGGGGCGACATATCCGTCATTTGGGTTCGCGGGCTCTGGCAGTGTGAAACGAACGCGCTGGCTTGAGGTGCTAGCCGTACTGCCAGCCCGACTCCGCGGCAGAGCACCAGCCACGGCAGATACGTTTTCGAGACCCAGGATGGAAGGTGAGTTGGAATCCGAAGATCCAGACCTTTCGGGGGCGGGAGCGGGGGCAGCTCTGAACTTTGGGCTGTTCCACAACTGACTCTGGGCTTGGCCGACGGAATTTGCGTGGTGATGGGAGTGCTCTTGGATGTGGCTGTGGGCATGAATGTTCTCCCGTCTGAGCAGATCGGCCTTTGCTCCAGCCAGCATCATCGCGGAACCCGGAGGCGGCGTAATCATTTCAAAGTATTCCGGGGACAGCCACTCCCCCAAGAAGGCATCCAAGCGCAACGTCGATTTCTTGATCATCTTCTTCTTGGCCTGCTCGGGCTTGGTACCGTTCGCGTCGTTCGAGAGGGGATCGACTTCCTCAGCTACGGACGCTGGGAGAACAAAGGGTGAGGCTGAAGGGTTCGCGCTGGGCGAGGGCATCGAGTACGAGGGCGTACCGGGCGGAGGCGCCTGGGCCAGGCCCGCGCTGATGGCGACGGAGGTTTGGACGCATCGCAAGAACGGGGAGCTATGGAGGACAACCTTGAACTTGCGGCGCCTCTTTTGCGAGTCGACAGAGCCATTGCGGCCGTTGGAGAACTTGGAATCGGCATTGACCTCAGCTTCGGCCTGTCTCAGTATGTTTCCAATGCGTATGCCGAGTGCTTTGGCTTGCTGCCAGCCGCCGTAGGTCAGAGGAGGGTCGTAAGGTGTCGGGGACGTGAGATGCCACTTCTTGTCGGCGGCGTCGAGACGTGCGCCGTGCCTAGTAGTCTTGTCAGCCTTCCAGAAGCTTGCAAGCGTGGGTTGTGAGTAGGTCCTCTTACCTGACGACGAAAATGTACGCCGGTGGGCGCCCCATGTTGTCGGCGACGCAGGTGAGAATGCGAAAGCCCACTCAGGATATGTGCGGTAGTCGGCGTGGAGAGGATTAGGTGAAAAGACAACGGCGTATGTGACAACCTCTTACAGCGTGAGAAATACGGACGGAGGATCAAATAGCGATGGGTGGAAATGCGGCTAAAGACACCATCCAAGACTTTGCGGACCTAGAGGATCGGATGGCTTGGGTAGGCGAAATAAGCTTCGATGTGCCGGCGGCGGAGGACCGAGAGGGCACGGGCAAAGGTAACAGACTAAGTTGCAGATGGCCGGGACGGTTTTGGTAGTTGATGCACTTGGGACCGTTCAAGTTGTGATATTTCGGGATGGGCGGAGTTGATGTGAGGACAAGCTGGAAAGAAAGACAGGTTGAGTAATCAGAAAGGCAGAACGAGTCGAGAAAGTAGAGAAGGCAAGAAGGCGAAGAAGAAGCAGCGAGGTACCGGCAGAGAAGTAGTAGGCAGGCAGGCGGAGGAGGTGGAGGGCCTGGCAGGCGGATTTCAGAATTTCTGCCACGAGTTTTACGTCGGTCATCCGGTGTTTGGGTGCCCCTCTCTCCGTGTCCGACCAGTTGGCACCGACTTCGCAAGCGCTAAGATGATGGGACTATCCGTAACAGACTAACAGCAAGTAGGCAGATGGAGACCGTTGACGAGCATGCCATCGGTCGGTCAGCGGGCGGTGGAGATGGAGGGAGAGAAGAATGAAGGTGGAGCGGAGCGGTCGTGGAGAACCTGCCTTGAGATGCAATCAATCGGCACCGAGTCGCGACAAACGGGCCAGGCTTGGGGAGGGTCATTAAATGTATTAATTTGCGATCGGATCCCGCCCAGGCCCAGGTACCCAAGTATCAAGCCAGGTATTGAGGTAAGGTCTCCAGGTACGGATACAAACAGGGGATGTATTATGTACGCAGTACGTACGAGATGTATGTATGTATGGTCCAGGCGCAGGTGCAGTCGCAGCCGCAGTCAGTCAGTCGTGCAGGTTGCAGAAGGCACAAAAGAAAGCAGCCTCAGGTACGAAGCATTTAAAGGTACATGACGGATATGTAGAACAGTGACAGAGGGTAGGTAGGTTTTTCAAGGGTTGTCAAAGGCGGGGCAGATTCTCCTCTTCTGCTTTTCTGCCTTTCTGCTTTGTCTTCTGGTCAGGGTCACATACACAAATCGTAAGTGCAAAGACACAATGATGCAAGGACTCGGAAGCGACACATCTCAGAGACTCACACCCTCGCCAATACGGATCATCGTGGACAGCCCACCGGCTACACAAGAATCGTCAAGGGTCAGACGATGGTCCTATAGTGGTGTGGTGATGCCGGGTGCGTCAGTGAGGGGGAGAAGAGTTGGAGGAGGGCGAGGTACCTTGCTGAGGGTTGGAGGGGTAGCAGAGGCATAGGTAGGTTTGGCGAGTGACAGGCCGGGAAGACACTGCGAGCCGGCGAGGGAGGGGGTTGGATTGTCACTGCCATTGCCGAACATACGCAGTACTGTACGTAGTATAATTGCGCCCACCTATGAGGTACCTATGAGGCACCGCTGCTACTTTGAGCATCTCGGAGACGAACCAGAGACGAGACAGGGTCTTGCATGTCTGCTACGCCAGGCGCGTCAGCCGTTGCTACCTTAGCTTGGGTAGTCTTTACTCTTCAGGAGGGGTCGCTGCCATGGATGACGGAGCGGTGCAGAATGCAACGAAAAATGATTCACTTCCTTGCCTCTTTGCTCTCTGTCACTCTGTCACTCTGCGGTGTGGAAATGTGCATGTGATTGTCCCGCTCTCGCTTTTTAGCGCCAAACGTAATCACGGCACGTGGGGAGACAGGAAAATTTTAGACGAGCAGAAGACGAAGAAGACTTCCTTCCTTGCTGGCAATATCCGAAAATGCTAGGTGCTAAGGCCCGGTCTACGAGATGAATAAGCTTAAGTAATCAGACTCCGACTGCCCGACACTCCCGTATGGCGTCTTTCGTCTTTTCTCCTCCATTCCCAAGCAAAAAGGCAACAGGTACCTACCAAGGGCAATCAAACCATAAGCTCTGAGCATTCCAGTGCCCCCAGATGCCTTTGTTTGGCCCATTGGTGCATTCTTTGTATTTGATGCATTCTTTGTACTTGATCACGAGTTCCCCGGCCCGTATGCAAACAGTATAGCCGCCGTGCATGTTTGACTCAAATCACACGATGCTGACGCAACTCATCAAGCTGACCATGATCAGCTTTCCCTTGCCAGCTGCCAGCTACTCCCGGCGACCAGCCCGAAGCATGAGCGGCACCGCGGCACCGCGGCAGAGACTCACCACCTCGGACATGAATCCTCCGAAGCTATCCAGGTTCCGCTCGCCGCTCGGTCCAATGCCCCGTCCAGATCCGACCTCCTCCACATTAGCATCTCATGGATAATTAATGGATCTTTTCACCTTGATCCCTTGTTCGGAGAAACCCCACCAGCCATTTATGGCGGGGGCCATAGGTTCGTTCTCTGGTTCGACAGTCAAACAGCACTCCGTTAAGCCCTGAGATTCAGATGAGCTAATCCCCGCAAAGCAAGAGTGGCCTGTGCAAGGCGGCCGCCAGAACATCTCCCAATTACCTAAACTTCCAAGTACCCCAAAGTACTGAATTAACCATCATGCATGAATAGACCGGGTGACTCTTCAGAATGTCGCCGGCCAAGTGACTCAAATATACAAAAGTTCTTTTTGGTTCAGCAAGCAAGTAAAAAATGTCTCCGAGCGCAGATAACCTTAAAAGCCAATATCGCATTGGAGGCTGCGGGTAACTTGGAGGGATACACCCCAATCTGATACACTTCACTCCTCGTTACCCCAGATTCCAGATCAAACGAACGCCACTACACCACCTACATCTCATCCCCACGTATCACCAGAGTGTCGGAACACAGCAACTTGCCCTTGAGTCTATAGTCACCACCTAGGAATTGAATAGAGAAACCCAATCCAAACCACAAAATGGCAACTGCACTCAAGGACCAGCAGGACTCGGCAGACATCAAGTCCCGCCTCAAAGAGTCCTACGACACCATCGCCACCGAATACAACGAATGGACCCTCCGCCAGACCTCCCTCCGCATCGAGTACCTCGAGAAGCTCATGGAGAAGCTCCTCACCGCGAAGCCCCTGTCGGGCCAAATGTCTCTCGTCCTCGAGCTCGGCTGCGGCTGCGGCCTCCCCGTCACCGAGAGGCTCCTCACCGCGCCCGACACCTACGTCACCGCAAACGACCTCTCCACCACCCAGATCGACGTCGCCCGCAAGAACCTCGCCAAGCACGGCACCGACCGCGTCTCCTTTGTCGAGGGCGACATGATGAAGCTCGAGTTCTCCGAGGGGTCGTTCGACGCCGTCATTGCCATGTACAGCATCATCCACCTGCCCCGCGAGGAGCAGACCGAGATGATCCGCCGCGTCGCCAAGTGGTTGAAGCCCGGCGGCCTGCTGCTTGCCAACTTTGCGTCAAAGGACTTGCCTGCCGTTGTGAATGAGGAGTGGCTTCATGAGAAGGGATGGATGTACTGGAGCGGTTGGGGCGCTGATGCGACTGTGGAACAGCTCAAGGAGGCCGGGTTGGAGGTCATTATCAGGGATATCGTCGATGACAAGGACGACGCCGAGTTCCTCTGGGTCATGGCGAAGAAATGAGCAGTGCCTATTCACATGATTTTTGTCGTTTCAACTTGGGTTCCGGAAAATTCAACATCAAGCGGGCATCAGAGGCATCCTCCTATCATGTCAGTATACCTATGTAAACTACAAGACGGGATATCAAGGGTTGCCCACGTCGAGGTACCTTGTACTTTGAACTGGTGGGGTTTCGCTTCTTTAAGCAAGTACTTTTCGGTATCTTGCGGTTTCTCAATGTCTTATATAGCAAGACGTTGATGGTCTAAAAGTACACAAAGTCAATTGAACATTTACTCTACTTGATGATTATTCTTCGGCTACAGTCTACACATGATGAAATCCTAGATTGCTCGGTGGCACTGTGAGGTACTAAAGCATGGTAAAACAATCAGATCGCTTCCAAATGGCGGGGAGAACTGGTACCTGAGCCACACTGCGCTACCCCGGTCAAAGAGGCAAGGGCAATGGCCTGTGCCCCAGAGAACCGATCGGCTTACTAAGGCCAATTTTGTCAGGGCGAAGCTCCGTGGCGGGCCCCCTTACCAAGCTGTTGGTTAACCATATCGATCCGTCGTGGGATTCTTTCGTTTCCACTCGTCTCCCTTGCGACGACAATTCACGAACTTGTTTTACCTCCCCGCCATTCGCGACTTCATTGATTCGAATCACCATCATCATGAAGCTGTCACGATTTCTCCAGTTGCCAGCCCTCCTGGCTGCCTCGACCCTCGCCCCCGCGGTGCTCGCCGAGCACACCAGCAACTGGGCCGTCCTCGTCTGCACATCGCGATTCTGGTTCAACTACCGCCACCTCGCCAATGTGCTCTCCATTTACCGCACCGTAAAGCGCCTTGGCATCCCCGACTCTCAAATCATCCTCATGCTCCCCGACGACATGGCCTGCAATCCGCGCAATGCCTTCCCCGGAACCGTCTACAGCAACTCGGACCGTGCTGTCGACCTGTACGGCGACAACATCGAGGTGGACTACCGCGGCTACGAGGTCACTGTCGAGAACTTCATCCGTCTGCTTACCGATCGCGTCGGCGACGAGATGCCCCGCAGTAAGCGCCTTCTGACGGACGACCGAAGCAACATTCTCGTATACATGACAGGCCACGGTGGAAACGAGTTCCTAAAGTTCCAGGATGCCGAGGAGATTGGTGCTTTCGATCTGGCTGATGCCTTTGAACAGATGTGGGAGAAGAAGAGGTGAGAGGATACCCAGGTGCACATGCGCTACTGCGACGACATTTACTGACTGCTCTTCCCTCAGGTACCACGAGATCCTCTTCATGATCGACACCTGCCAAGCGAACACAATGTACAGCAAGCTCTACTCCCCCAACATCATCGCCACCGGCTCCTCGGAGCTCGACCAGTCCTCCTACTCGCACCACGCCGACAACGACGTCGGCGTCGCCGTCATCGACCGCTACACCTACTACAACCTCGAGTTCCTCGAATCGCAAGTCCAAGACCTGAGTTCCAAGAAGACGGTCGGCGAGCTCTTCGACAGCTACACGTACGAAAAGATCCACTCCCACGCCGGCGTGCGCTACGACCTCTTCCCCGGCGGCGCCGACGCCGCGCGCAGCCGCCGCATCACCGACTTCTTCGGCAACGTGCAAAACGTCGAGGTCGACGGCGCCAAGAACATGGTCCTCGACGAGGAGCTGCTGGAGCTCAGCCAGAAGATTGCCGCGCTGAAGCAGCGGGCCCAGGAGGCTGATGCGGCGGCCAAGAATGCGTCGTTGGCGGAGGGTGCAAAGGGCCAGACGCCGGATGCCAAGACGAGGGCTCAGAGGGTGCAGATGGCGAAGCCGCTCACGAATGAGAATTGGTGGGAGAAGAAGATTATTGGAGTCACGGCCTTGATCGGTTGCGCGCTTCTCTGGGCTTTGGGGTCGTATTATGAGGCGCCAAAGAGGAAGGCCGATGGTTCTAAGATGGCGACGGGGCAGAATGGCCGATCCACCGTGAAAGCGTAATCGTGTCGTCTTTTTCTCTCGTTTTCTTGTACTTTATGTCTGTAGTTGACTTGCACGAGGTGCATCAAGCATGGCGTTTCTTGGGATATGGAAGGGAATGGTTCACTCATAGCTTGGGAGCTGGTTTAGGCTCTATCAATCATCAGCAGTCATGATTGCTTCAAACACGAGAAGAAATTCTATACATTGTTCTGTATGCTCATCCTTCATTTTTATGTCAGTTGAACAGCACCCCTTTTCCAATGTTTGGCTGTTGTTTGTGTTTACGCATTTATCCGAAGTATTTCCATGCAGGTCGTTCCTCACCTCTCCTCACCGAGCCTTTCACCGAGGTGATTTCATCCACTCTAAAATCTTGCTGGGCAAAGTCAATGCTTTTGACGACAGTCCATCAACCCCCATACATCCTTCATGGAGAGACGTAGACATCCCGTAATCTGCGAAAATGGATAGCTCAAAGGTTTGTATAGGAATCTCCTTCCGTTCTGGTGCTTCTAGATTGGTCCTTCCGCGGCATACTGTGCTCCTTCTCAACTACATCCCGCGCTTACAACGGGTCCCCTTACCTTACTGTGGCCTCGTGTAAGTGACAGGTGGAACACTGTCGTTCCTCATTTCATCATCCCCCGAGAACTTATCGTATTGCCGCGCTTCTCTCACTCACCGGCACTACGTACCTTGTCTTCTTGCCCACCCCAGCAACCCTCTCGCAAGTTAATCATACACTCACCTCAACATCGTGATCTTTCATCTCACACGAAGGCTCGTCATTTCCCTTTATAAACCATTATCAGCCCTCCATGAGCGGCAGTCTACTCATACAAATCCTATCTGCCCGCTGAAGTCAGCGATCATGGACGACATCATCGCCCTTTCCAAAACCCTCACCCTCAACCCCAGAAACCACAACCAACCACTAACACCCTTGGACGATGACCAGATCCCACCCCTTAAAACCATCACCCTCAAATCCAGGCCCCTAGCAAGCCATGCTCTCACCTTCTCCTGCGACGCCGAACTCGCCGTCGCCGCAGACGACTCAATCCACGTCTTCCTCCCCGAGTTCCCAACCCCAGAAGAACCGAACGCCAAGCAGGATCCATCCAAAGACGACAAAGAAGATGCCCAGGCTACAGCACCAGCAGATGAAGACCCCGCAGGCGTAGCAGCAGCAGCCCTCGCCGCTGCCGCCGCAGACGCCAAAGACGGCGAAAAGCTCTACCGCCAACAATTCTACACCTTCCAGCTCCGCATCCCCACCTCCCGCAAACCCGACCCGCGCATGAACGCCGCGCTCTTCGCCGCCCGAGGCCTCCCCGTCCCCTCCTACGACGACGACTGGGCCGCCGGCGAAGCTGCTGCCGGCGGCCCCGGGGAAGCAGCAGTCCCGGACCCCTCCTCCGCATTCGAGGGCGTCGGATCGGGCACGGTAACAGGCTACGGCGCCTCGCTGAACCAAGTCGTGGCGATAGAATGGTCCCCCGGAAACCTAGGCCGGAATCTGAGGGCGGTGCTGACCGTGATGCTGACCAACGGCGCGCTCCTCGTCATCGGCGAGGGAAGCGGGAGCGGAGGCGGTAGTACCAGCCACGGCTCCGTCGACCTCGGCGCGCGGATGAGGAATTTTCGGGACTGGCGGATTTTATGGGGCGTCGGCGCGAATCTACCGCTGCCGGACCCGGATGCCGAGGAGGGCGGCGACGAGGGGGCGCATCTACCGCGGGATAAGGTTAGGTCGTTCGCGTGGGCGAGGATGGTTGGGACGGGC